CTAATTTACTGACCGGCTCTTGTTAGATGCGAACACGAACGAATCCCATCTATGCCGATAGGACTGTATAAACCCTCCTATCCCCAGGACGGATATGAGCCTCTCCGTTTTGCCTTAGAGTTAGGGCAATATAGCTCCCCCCCACACGGGCGGTCGCATGGTCATCGGCAGCTGATAATTGAGAAGTGTTCACCGACAAGGACGGGAACAAGACTGGAATGGCTTATTTGCCGTCATTAGCCAGTGATAACCCAACCGCCCACTCGGCAACTGAGTCCCTAGCCAGTTGGTCGTCGAGCCGTGCTCTCATCGCTGCACTAACGACTCGCATCATACCAAGCTGCTCTCATGCCTCCAAATACCCCCTATGTCAGACTAGTAACTATCGGCGCTGGCAGGATCCCCACCAATCCGGCGGTCGGGGAGTATTGGTCTCCGTTTATCGTGTAGACAGCTTACCTCGCCCTTGCTCTCCCCTTCAGCGTAGTTTCTCCCCTCTCCTACCTATGCAGTGCCATGCGACCCCTCCTTTGAAGGAGAAGTCGCCGATGCCATACGAAAGTTGGGCAACAATAAGGCACTCGGAAAAGACGGTATACCCGCTGAAATCTTCAAGTCTTGTGTCGACACTCTGGCGCCCTGGCTCCATGAGGTGACTGAACGAGCGTGGAGAGACGAAGTTGTTCCTGATGACTGGGGCTTAGGCATCCTTGTACCTATCCTCAAGAAGGGAGATAAGACGAGATGCGAGAACTACCGCGGCATAAGTCTCATCGGCGTTGCTGCGAAGATCTTCGCTGTTGTCCTACTCAGGCGATTCCAGGCTGTACGCAACTCAAGGACGAGGCCCAACCAAGCCGTATTTCGTGCTAGACCTGGATGCGCAGACCAGATATTCACCCTGAAACGCATTCTCGAATTTTGCCATAGCTACCAACAACCGACGGCCGTCTGCTTCACTGACTTTGCTGCCACGTTCGATTCCGTCCATCCTGAGTCCCTGTGGCGGATAATGGCGCTAGATGGTGTACCGGCAAAAATCATCGCCATGATCAAGGCCTACTATCGCTCCACCACTGCGAGAGTCCTGGTCCGCAACAATCCTTTCCAACCGTTCGGTATTCGGTCTGGCGTTCGTCAGGGCTGTATCCAGTCACCCATTCTGTTCAACTATGCTATTGATTGGATCCTCGGGAGGGCCCTACAAGAAGGTGACGGCGTTGAGTTTGCACCCGGACATCGACTGACTGATCTCGACTATGCCGATGATATCGCCTTACTTGCCCCAAGTTTTGGTGCTCTGCAGTCTATGGTGTCACGGGTGTACGAGGTCGTTAAATCGATCGGTTTATCCATAAACGCTGGGAAGACTAAACCGTTTTCAAGCTGCATCCCTGACCAGGAGAAGGTACCCCTCGGGATTGCTGGCTGTCAACTTGAAGAAGTAGACAGTTTTAAATATCTCGAGCGAGACTGCTGCCTAATGGGCAGAATAAGGACTACATCGTCTCCCGAGTCGATGTTGCCCGCTGGGTTTTCCCAAGCCTTCGGAAATGCCTATGGATCCGACGTGACCTCTCCATCGTCATTAAGATTAGCACGTACTGTGCATCTGTCCGGTCTGTTCTCCTCTATGGTTATGAATGCTGGGCTTTGCGCGTGAAGGACGGGCGAAAACTAGAGGTATTTGACCACCACTGCTTGGGGACCATCCTTCGAGTAACGTTCACCGACTTCGTCTCAAATGAGACAGACCGCGCTCGCTGCGACAACATCGCAAGGATAACTCGGGTCATCCAAAAAAGACGACTGAGGTGGTTCGGACATGTTCTTAGTCGTCCACCTTAGGAGCTTAGTGTTGCTGCCCTCGATCCGGCAGCATTATCCCATTGGAGGCGTCGAAGAGGGGGTCAGTTCAAAACCTGGCTCGACACAGTTCGTCAAGATATGGAGGTGGTTCTTGGACCTTCAGTATTCGGTCTCTGTCGTTGGCGAAGGAAATGGGTGGAGCTGTCCAGATCTGCTGCCGCGGATCGTCACGCGTGGAGAGGTACAGTTCGTGACATCATTGAGGCCGGCTAGATCAGGCATGATCGCAGCCGTGTCAAGTGTATGCAGGTCGAGCCCATAGTGGTAATTCTGCCCTCGCAAGCGATGACGTATACCGCGTACTTCGTGGAGTCGGCGCAGCGCCGGTTAGTTATGATTAAATTGGTTTATTGTAAGACGGCCTTGCGCAGCATGTCCCGCACTTTCTCCTCCCTTGCCCAACAGTGTCGAAACGACCGGAGGTTGGCTCGGTCTCATTGGCCAAATAGCCCGTCTACGCGTGCCACACACACGATCTGGTCCGGCGGCATGTACAAGACCTCCGTAACGGCGACTGGGGTCTCGCGTTAGTAATGTGGCTAGGGAGACCACAATAGGAGGTGGTCGTTTCGGCCTGACTCCCAGTCCTCCAGTCACTCCAAGCTACTGCCTTGAAGAACGAGTTGCCTCTAGCCCGGAGCGGGGTTGATAAAACGATTGTGTCGAAAAAGGTGGCACCATCTATGGACCAGCCGACCTCTCTTGTTTTGTGAACTCCCTTCCTCCAGTAGAATTGCCTACCAACTCACCTGTTAGATCAGTTGTGAATTCCTGGAGACAAAAGTGCCTGCTGATGGCACAAGTTGGTTCCATCGGTCGAGCTATGTGAGCGTGATTAAGATCGCGAAAATTTCTTAACTTAGGCTACAGTGCTGACGAAAATGAGACCTCTGTTAAGTTGTAGTGACTTTTCGCTGATAAATGTACCGGCTCCTCATTCTGAACAGTATTCGTGCACAGAGCTCCTCTATGTACGGTAGGTGGGCTAACTCATGAAATGTCAACCAAAATTCCGAAATACGTTTTCGTTTCGAAAAGATTAATTAAGTGGGGTTGTAAAATTAATCATTATGCAGCATAATTCTATAATAATTCAGTCACTCCAGGACGTCGACTTTTTAACGAACTTCTTTCCGGCTGTATGCAAAAAGGACACTGTAAAAAATGACGACTTAGGTGGCATGAATTTTTATCATTGATATTCTACGCCTCGGTAGGAAATTACGTCTCCTTCCAATATCATACTCGAAGGGAGGGTGTGATTCGGTTTCCAGAATCTTTTCCAATTCCCGAGTAATTATGAACCCGGACCTGCCGTTACATTTGGATTCAGGGTTTCCAAACTACAAACCGTTTATTTTCCGCGTACGTAAAACCACACACTTCTGTACGGTATTAAGAGGAGACCATACAGGTTTTATAAGATTTAGCAGTGAATTTGATCCATATTGTTAACTTTACAATCCAAATTGGTAAATGCAGAGACATGAAGTTTTATAAACGACCTTTTCACGGTTTTAAAAAGTCCCATAATTAGAAACTCTTTCAAAACCTAATTATGTCCCTCCTTTGAGTACAAACTTGAAAGAAGACGTAATTTTCTACCGAATGAACAAAAGAAGCAATATTTTTATGCATGTTTTCCATGAAATATAATTGAACTTTTAGGGGCATAGAAAATCGATGAGAAAAATGTATGCTACATAAGTAGTCATTTTTTTACAGAGTGTATTTCTTGCATGCAGTCGGAAGGAAGTTCGTTCGAAAGCCGGCATCCTGACGTAACTGAAATATTGTAGAATTATGTTGCAGGCTGACTAGTTTTACAAGACTACTTACTTAATCTTTTCGAAACGAAAAAGCATTTCAGAATTTCGGTTGACATTTCATGAGTTAGCCCACCCACTGTACAGTTATTACTGCTCTTAAAAAGAATTGACAGAAATGTTCCCCAATACAGTCACTTTGCCGAAAAGGGGTCATAGTTGGGGGATTTTTTTCGAAAGCATGTGAGTCCTTGCAGGCACGAGATGAGCTTTTCCCGTAACCGCATCGACTGATTTCCACGATACTGAATGTTTCCGCTCGCAACCGACTGAAAGAGCAGCTTCGTCCAATTTATGAATTTTCATGCGAGCATTAGTACATTTTACCCCCCCTCCCTTAACCAAACGCAAGAAATGATGGGACCTGCACAACACTAACAGCTTGAGCGATATTTTACCGCCCATATGGCCACTCAGTGGGGCATTTACAATCGCAGAAGGAAGTCAAAAAATGAGCGGAGATAACGATGATGACTTCGATTTGAAGACAAATCTAAGTTGTTTCGTCCGCGGAAAAATCGCCAGTAACTTTCAGCAACTAGAAAAGGCGGGCCCAACGTTCCAATTTTTCCTTATCTTATCTGTGGAGAAGGATGGAGTATGTGGACTTCCGTCGGTGGCATACCATATTAAAGCATTTTTTAAAATATGGAACATAACAGCGAGGATTTCCCAACTGATAAAAAGCATATCTATCCCAGACCTCAGTTGTGGACGTTGTTTTTATGTTGGCAATGAGGTTTAATGCTTGATCCGTCGCCAAATATGACCCAAACGGCCGTCTGCGGGGAAAATAACGCTCAAGAACTCATTACTTCGGTAAATACTTTCGTTAAAAACCTTATTTGGAGGTTTTGATAGACAAAAGTTATACAGCCTACCTTCTAGGCCAGGTTACTAAAAATACTGAAAACGACCAAGTGTTCCGTGACATTTTCATGGACATCCTGCCACTCAGTGGGCTGAACCATCACCTAAGCCTACACAGTACTTTCATTTAAAAAAACTCCCATAATACACAGAAAATGACACTTTTACGATTGCATCTGCTGATCTGTACAAGTTTATTAATCAAAGGCAGACCTCATAACATGGAACCTCATAAAAACTTTGATGCTTGTGAAGTCTCTATCAGCGAATTAAAGTGAAGTCATCTTTTCTCTAATTAACCGTATCTCGGACAATACAATGATGGAAAATACATCGAATTCTTGCAACAAGCTTTCAAAACACATCAGCAAACATTGTGCACCAGACTTTGCGCCATACTTTACGTAGTACTAATTCTTTGAGCATATATACTGTAAATGCATGTGCCGTTTTAGTTACTCAGACTTCGTACACTTTTGAGAACTCTGTCAACTCGTTTGAAACAGCTTTTCGCGTTTTCGAAATTTCTACCTTTCTTGGGAAAACTGTCCTTTTTAGCCAATGAACTGCTACTTCAAATGCTGCTTCGGTGTTTTCACTTAACCTGGTGTCGTTCATTATTGGTTTGGTGTTTTGGTGGATGAATGTGAAGTGGTTTCCGACTAATTACAGATTTTTTAATAAGTCAGTAGTACTTCATTGGTAAGGTCACCTGCCGTAACATTCTGGGGACGGGTGTCCATCCCACTGGCCTATGATCAAGACTTCTTCGAGTCAATGCGCAAATACCCCGTTCGCAGTGGCATTCCTCACGTAAGAGGAGTATGCTCTCTCTCTCCCTCTCTCTCTCTCTCTCTCTCTCTCTCTCTCTCTTCTCTCTCTCTCTCTCAGGAATTCCCCCTGCTTACTGGATGTCGGCTAATTTTCCTAGGACAGGTTTTAGCGAAATGAGGAGAGAGAAAAATCGATCAGCATGAGGCCGGCCAACACAGCTTGCCACTTTAAGTTAACTTTCTGGTCGATTAGGTGCAGTTTACGCTTTGACAATGAAGAGCCGACCCAGCTCTTTGAAACGTTAGCAGTTAAATAAACCTGTTCCGGAGAGCCAATTTTCTTCTTCTAATGTACTTGTCTGGTCAAGCTTTTCTCAAAAACAACCACCTCAGGTAGGAAATAATTTAGATAGCAGAAAATTTCGAAGTTCAGTGACTTTCTGAGACATCCGTCCGAATGCGTGTGCAGTTAGCCGTTGGATGTGGTAAGTCTGCGCGCCTCTTGTGTCCGCGTGCAGCGAATGCGGGCGAAGGGCCTTCACGCCAGCCCGGACACTGCACTCAATCTCATTACTCCATCACTGGTGCTTGGAAGAGCGAGAGGGAGAGGGAGGGAGAGAAAGACCATCCTCTCGTACGTTTGCCCATGAAGATATTACCTTTTGGTGCCATTTCGAGTCATATGTGAAGGTGTGCAAATTTTCTAAATCGTTTATGTTTTTCGGGGTGACCGGGCCGGCTTATAGCTACCTTTTTTCCCTACATCCCAGACTGATGCTCCTCGGTGACAGAGGAGCGCTCACCGATCGCGTTACGGAACTAACTCGTCCCGTCGGGCCTTACGGGTTCTCTCTCTCTCTCGAGCCCCGCCAGCAGCCACACAGCGGCGCATGATATATAGGCAGAATAGCATTACCAGCAAAGGCAAGGAAGACTGGGATGGTCATTTCTGGCTTATTAGCCGTTGTCAGCCACACATACCCAACCCCGAAGTGTGGAACACCCGAGATTCGAACTTGCAACCTGTTAGTTAGAAGTCCGATGACCCATTTATATAACAGTGATTTCTAAGACACCAGATGTCTCATTCTGGGGAAGTTCGTGTTTGCACACTTGCTAATTTCTTTCATTGTCTAGACGTCTGCATTTGGCTATAGACCTCGAGAGTGATATTTTTGACCCTATGTTCACCATCTTCGTTTCCTTCGACTACAGGGGTTCATTTGAGGTTAGGTGTCTACGCCGAAAATAATATATTTGGAAGTATGCTTAGCTTACATGTTCGCATGGTGGCAGCGTACGCCGTATAGCTGAAGAAAAATGAAAATATAGTAGCGTTTTTCGGCAACATAATGGGAATTAACTTCGATTGAGTCGGTGAAAATTTAATCATAATGACGTATGGATATACGGTCAAGGTGTCCAATACTAAAACGACTCAGAGCTTAGTAGGAAACGTACAGTTTGTCGGTGTACACGTTAATATACGATGACATTATTGGGTTGATAATATTGTTACCGTTGTCACAGGCATTATGAACAGCGTTAGAGGGGCGCCCACCGATCGTTTTTATGGAACTCACTCGTTCTGTTGTGCCTTAGGGATTCCTCTCTCGAGCCCAACTAGCAGCCGCACAGAGGCGCGCAGTATAGGCAGAATAGCATTACCAACAAAGGCAAGGAAGACTGGGATGGTCATTTCTGGCCTATTAGCCGTCGTCAGCCACACATACCCAACCCGAAGGCAGAAGGAGATAATCGACAGTCGAGTGACCATACCTGGCTTATTAACTGTCATCTATCAGCTATATGAAATAGAGTACAAGTACGCTCACCGACCACATTAGGGGACATACTCGCCCTGTTGTGACTTGAGGCTTAATCTAGAGCCCTGCCAGAAGCCACACAGCAGCTAGGCATATGTACAGAATGACATTATTGGCAAATATTGTTTCTGGCTTAATAACCGTCCCGAGGTGTGGAATACCTGAGGCTCGATCCCGCGGCCTGTGGGTTACAAGTTAAACGCCCGATCGCAGCCGACAGGATAACGAGCTCGTGGTTCAACGTCTAAGGCGTTGGAGATCTAATCAACAAGTCACGAGCCTCAGGACTGCGTACCTCTGGGCTGGGTACGGCTGCTTGCTGACGGCTAATAAGCCAGAAATGGCCCATTCAGTTCTCATTGTCTTTGTCAGTAATGCCATTCTGCCAGAACTTCTCAAGCTGAGCCAAGAAGGGACTAATGCTTGGCTCATGGCACGTGTTGGTCTGTGTGGGGCCTTAACTATGGCGTACGTAGACGGAGCCTTTCATGTCACGCTAAACACTGCGCCCAACCTCGTTGCCTTGGAGAGGAAAGAGAAACCACTGTTGGTTTTTTCGTGCCGGACTTCATAGAAGAGAAATAATAGACGGGGAGAAGACCGCGCATATATACAGTAGGTGGGCTAACTCGTGAAATGTCAACAGAAATTCCGAAATGTGTTTCCATTTCGAAAAGATTAACTAAGTAGGGTTTTAGAACTTATCAGCCTTCAGCATAATTCTATAATAATTCAGTAACCTAAAGATATCGGCTTTCGAACGAACTAATCTCCGACTTCATGCAAGAACTAGGCCCTGTAAAAAATGACTACCAATTGAGCATGCAATTTTCTCATTGCTTTAAGATGCCCTTGAAAATTCAATTATATTTCATGGAAACCATGCATAAAAATATTCATTCTTTTACTTATTCGGTAGAAAAGTAGGTCTTCTTCCGATTTTACACTCGAAAGAAGAATATAATTCGGTTTTAAAAAAACTTTTATAATTCCCGAATAATTTTGAACCTGCTCTAACGTCACACTTGGATTCAGGGTTTCCGAACTACAAGTTGTATATTTTCCGTGTACGGAAAACCATACCTTTCTCTACGGTATTAAGTGGACACCATAATGGGTTCATAAAATTAAGCAGTGACTTTGGGCAATACTTTTAACTTTACAAGCCACATTTGTAAATGTATATACATGACGTTCTATGAACGGCCATTTCACGGTATTAAAAAAGTTCACAATTAGAAACTTTTGGAAACCAAATTATACCCTTCCCTCGAGTATCAATTTGAAAGAAGACGTAATCTGCTACCGAATGAGCAAAATAGTGAATACTTTTATGCATGTTTTCTATGAAATATAATTGACTTTTCAAGGGCACCGAAAACCAATGAGAAAATTGTATGCTACATTGGTAGTCATTTTTTACAGGGCCTAGTTCTTGCATGAAGTCGGAGATAAGTTCATTCGAAATCCGACAGCCTGAGGTAACTGAATTATTATAGAATTATGTTGCATTATGATTAGTTTCACAACCCTACATAATAAATCGTTTCGAAACAAGAGCGCATTTCGAAATTTCGGTTGACATTTCATGAGTTAGCCCAACAAAACTTCAGATCAATGGTTGGCGGGATTTAACATGGAATATAAAGGCCATCCGGTATGAATGGACAGTGAGAGATTGTGCTACAAGTACCGCGATGACACGGCTTAAGATCACCAGAGCTATTAGGTGGTCTGGGACGCTTATTTCATGGGGGTATCTTTGTGCCTCTCCAACCAGCCAACGTCCAAAAGTATACGAAATAACTTCCTCTTTTGTTCTGAGCCTGCCATCGCCCCAACATAAATTTGTTTTTCTTATTACAATTATGACTAAGGATCTCCTCTAGGGGTTCTTAACCTTCAGCGAGTACTAGATCCTGCCGGACAACACACCTCCAGCCCCCGATGGCAAGGTTCACAGTGTGGGTGATTGTTCGAGTCCGAGGCATGCTGGGTTAACCCAGTGGCCCACCTGTGCTCAATGCTAACTACAAAACAGCCGTCGTTTTGCTACTGACCTATCAAAAGAAAGCTGCTACAGAACATCACCGAAGCACGCTTCTGCTTCTTAATTTGGTAGCCCCGCCGAAAATATGGTCTCCATCAACAGTAGACAGTCCGAATATCTACCAAACCGGGTGCAGTGGCGTACTCCCTTTATGCAAGTCTCAACCGCTACCACACCTAAGTTTTTGTCCTCCTATGGCTGGAGGCAGTAGATGTGGAGACAGTACCAACGCAAATTCTTCGGTCTTTAGTGCCATTGAAGGGTTTCTGGGGACTTTGTGTTTTTACTAATGTAACTCTGAGGTGCCCGCGCGGGCACAACGGATTTGCTGTCAACTGCACAACCTCTCGTGACTGCTGCAGCTGATTGGTCAGTTCGCAAAAAGAAACCTGTCCGCGAATTCGGCCATCCTCTCTGCTGTCTGGGCAGAGACCGGAAATTGTCTGCTGAAAGTGCAGCAGGTGGCGTATCCCATAAAATGTTAACCAAAATTCTGAAATGTGAGTTCAGTTAGGTAAGATTCCTCGGGTGGGATTCTAACACTGACTTGCCTTGTTTAATTTCCGAGGAAATTAGTGCGCGAACTTGGAGTAAATCTTTCGAAACGGGCTTTTTCAGGCACGCTTCAAATTTTGATATGAATATTTGAGCTGAAATTCATCAGCTACTGCGGAATAACCACGTAATATTCACAAACCGCCAACAGGCAGCCAGTAGTATAGAACTGTGCAATGATTTACCGTACCAACAACACAGGTATTAGCTAAAAGCCCACTGGCAGTATGTTATTACCGAGGAAGACAAGGGAGACTGGAATGGTCATTTCTGGTTTATGAGCAGTCTTCTGCCAGTCATACCTAACCCCGAAGTATGGAACCCCCGGGGGCTCGAACTCGCGACCTGTTGGTTAGAAGTCCACGCCTCTAACCACTGGGCCACGAGCCCGTTGCCCTGTCCCGGAGATTTTCCAGCCCCGCTAAGATACCGTCATTTGAATGCTCCTCTTTCCGGCCACCTGCAAGACCTACACCCGGTAAAAGGGACTGCTCAAGTAGCGCACACCTTTTTTCTTCGATTTTCACGGAAGAAATACAGCTTGTTGTTTTGAAACCCTGAATGCAATTGTGGCAGCAGGTCGGGTTCAAAATTATTCGGGAATTAGAAAAGTTTTTGAAAACCGAATTATACTCTTCTTTCGAGTATGATATTGGAAGAAGACGTGATTTTCTACCGAATAAGTAAAAGAATGAATATTTTTATGCATGGTTTCCATGAAATATAATTGAATTTTCAAGGGCATCGAAAATCAATGAGAAAATTGCATACCACTTAAGTGGTCATTTTTTGCAGAGTATAGATCTTGCATGCAGTCGAACATAAGTTCTTTCGAAAGCCAACACCTTGAGGTAACTGGATCATTATAGATTTATGCTGCATCATGATTAGTTTTACAACACTACTTAATTTATCTTTTCGAAACGAGAACGCATTTCGAAATTTTGTTTGACATTTCATGAGTTAGCACATCTACTGTAGACTTAACTATGTTTCTTGGACGGCATATATGAAAATGCCCTTTCTTGCATTTTTTGGTTGCAAACCACTTCTTCCATTTGTTATGCTCAAGGAAAAGGTAGCTCGCAGTTTCAAAAAAAAAGTTTTTTAATTCCCGCATAGTTTGAAGTCAAAACTTCCGTTGCCCTTGCTTTTCGAATTACAACTGTGCAGGCTATATACGTTCCATGTGTGGAAAATCCTATATCGTCCTTGTGCTGACATGAAGACACCATATAGGACCCATAAAATGTTTCGGCGAATGTGAACTGTGTTGTACGCTTCATAAGGAGCATCAATATGCAGACTGATACGCTGATATTTGACTGAGCACTCTATGACCATACAAATCTTACAATTTTAAATTCTTAGACTAAAAACTAACATTCTGCCTACATCATGCGCCGCTGTGCGGCAGCTGGTTGGGATCGAGGGAGAGGTCGTAAGACACAACGGAACGAGTGAGTTCCGTATGAACGATCGGTGAGCGCCTCCCCCCACCCCCTCTACCATTGTACATTCCCGACCGCAACCGACAGGACAAAGAATCCGTGGCTCAGTGGTTAGAGGCGTTGGACTCCTAACCGATCGCGAGTTCGAACCCCAGGTGTCCCACACCTCGGGATCGAGTATGTCTGCCTGACGACGGCTAATAAGACAGGAATAGTCATTCCAGTCTCCTTTACCTTTGTCGTCAATAACATTCTGGCTATATCATGCGCCGCTGTGTGGCTGCTGGTTGGGCTCAAGAGAAGGCCTGTAAGGCGCAACGGAACGAGTGAGTTCCGTAAGAACGATCGGTGAGCGACCCTCTACCATCAAAAACTATTCCTTCGCACATTAAATTTAAGGAAAAATTGACTTCCTGTAAAATGAGCATAAGAAAGGATGTCTTTGTGTCCGCTGTCTATTAGATATGTCTGAAATGATAAGGTGACAGAAAAGAGTGAGGAAAACTATGTTACGTAAGTGGTCCTTTTTCACTAAATTGTACTTTTTGAGAGCGTCTGAAAAAACTGGCGTCCTGGTGTGGCTGAGGCCTCTCGGGACTAGGCCGGGCGATTATCAGTAGTAGAACCCCACCTACGTTCTCATTTTTATACGAAAACACAGTTCAGAATGTTTGTCTATGCTATGCGCTGCCTATTGTGACGATAAAGGTTGAGATGTTTGGGCAGATTTCAAATGATTCACTTTGACCCACTTGTGAAAAACTCCGTGCCCCTCCCCTTGCTGTCGCGGGTTCGAATCCCACCGAGGCGCGGAGTTTTTCACAGTTGGGCCAAAGTGAATAAAAGTTGAATCAAACGACCTCGCAGCTGCGTCAGGCAGCGGCATTAGATCGGCGAAACACGCGTGCCTGGGCTTTTAGCTAATACCTGTGTTGTTAGTACGGTAAATCATTGCACAGTTCTATACTACTGGCTGCCTGTTGGCGGTTTGTGAATATTAAGCGGTTATTCCGCAGTAGCTGGTGGATTTCAGCTCAAATATTCATATAAAAATTTGGAGCGTGCCTGAAAAAGCCCGTTTCGAAAGATTTACTCCAAGTTCGCGCATTAATTTCCTCGGAAATTAAACAAGGCAAGTTAAAACTGGAGTTCATATACCAGTAAACACACGGGGAAAGATGGGGGACCCACTGACGATCCGAACCCCTCGCAGCTGCGTCAGGCAGCGGCATCAGATCAGCGAAACACGCGTGTCTGAGCTTTTAGTTAATACCTGCGTTGTTAGAACGGTAAATCATTGCACAGTTCAGTACTTTTATAGGCACCTCAAGGACGAATGTCCACGGAAGACGTTAGCAGTAGGAGGCGGGATAGGGGTGGAACCTTTGGACTCGACATCCCGACACAGTTCCTCAAAAGAAAGCACTTCGTTCGGTCAGGTGACTCAGAGAGAATATGTCTTATGGAAGCGGTGGTGGTGGTGAATGACCGCAGGCTCCTTTGAGAAAAAAGAGCATGACGGCGCATTTTGCCCATTTTAGCGACATTGTTAGTGTCCTATTTATCGGACAAAGTTAAGTTTCGGGGGCTCCCATGAGCACTTCAAAAGAGCATCTGGCGAGCATACGCATGCTTTTGATAAATTTTCATCGGGCCTGTACAATTACTTGGGAACGAGGCACAAACCGAAAAGTGCGCGCGATAAGAGCAATCGATTACGGCTCGTCGTTTTATGCAAACGGGGTGCGTAAATAGAGGGGGGAGGGGGAGAGAGGAGGCAGTAAGTGACGGTGAGGGTTAGGTAGGGCCGTGTCACAGGGGGTGAAGGGGGACGGGGACGCGGAGACATGCATACAGTTAATCGATCCTGGCCCACGGCAGACGCGGAGCGTGCGAGAGGTCCTTCTGCGTGCACAGGACCGGCCCTGTAGCCTGATGGCAGTCGCTTCTGCTTTTGCTGGTAAGCACTGACTCAGTGACTTAGGGTAGTTAGGCAGGACCTTGAAAATCACACGGAAGGCTTTGTTGTGATCCACACGATGCCCAGAATCAACCATGTGTTCGAGGATGGAGCTGTGTATGCTCTTAACCTCCCCTTTCCCCGGCCATGCCGGTAGGTGCTCTCGTCTTATTGTGGATATGCGCCGACTCGTACGACCAATGTGGCCTTCTCCACAGGAGTTAAGCTTGTCCACCCCAAATCATTATGATTCTAATGTACGGCGAATTTCTGAGTCGACACGCGGAAACGTAGATCGATCGTGCATTTTCTTCATCAACGAGTAGACAAACGAACAATTAAAGCGATACGCCAGTTTCCAGGTTGTCGGTAAAATTATTTTCCAGGACTGGGGACTTCCATGGTGTTGCAGTCATTATATTACCCTATATTCATGCTCGGTCCTCAAACAGCCCCACTGCCAGTAATCGCTCCCGGAGGTAAATGGTTGGCTTTTCTAAATGGCAAGCGAGTACAGCATTCTGACCAAACTCTACAACTTATAAAGCAGACCGTCTGGAAATCCAAACAATATTCATTTGATTGTTTTCAGTTAATTCGGCGTACGGTAACGAACGAAAAAGTCCATTCGTTCGTATTTGCCTTTATTCCAGGTTAATAAACGAGGATATTTGACCTAATATGTAGAAATCTCATTCTAGCCAGACAGTTGCTGTAAGCTTGATGATGGGCATTTTTAAATAAAGGGACACAGATATTGCCTTCCTTTACTATGGCCTATCTTTAAAATGTCAAGCTTGAGACCTCGGAGAAGCGCCTTTGAGCCTCGGTATTCGAACTCATCGTGCTGACAAGAGGTCGCTGTTCACAAGTCAAGCTGTTCGGACGCCGTGTCGGTCTTCGCTGATGGCGTCTCAGTCGCAGTGACCACGGAAGGAGTTAGATTTCTCCCTGAAATTGTGAACTATTTCTAATTCCTAAGTAGATGCCTTCTGTTTAACTTAGGGTGTTCGACCTCAGTAAGGTCATATACGAACTTGAATGACCCTCAAACCGGGAGAGGGGCGCTTAAGCAGAATGAAATTTTCAAATCTCAAGGAGGTGGAAATAAAGGATGATGATGATGATGATGATGATGATGATGATGATGATGATGATGATGAGGAGGAGGAGGAGGAGGAGGAGGATGATGAGTGGACCTATTGAAGTAAATCTATTAGATGCTCGAGTTTATTAACCTCCAGTCTTAGTATTCACTGTCGAAAACTGAAAATCTTGCAAACTGAGACTCGCTTGCATAATTTCAATGGGTTTCAGGGTTTGCAAGTTGGTTTTGTGGTCAAGTTTTGCTTTGCGCGTCGCGCCGGTCTTCGATGATGCCACATCAGTCGCAATGACCTCGGAAGGGGCCATCAGAAGTAGTCGGACCTCTCTTTGAAAGTGCTCCCGTCAGTTAATTTTACTGGCCTTGTTTTAATTTTTAGTCAGTCGTCTTCTGTGTAAATTAGGGCACCATATCTTAGTAAGGTCATGGGGGACCTTCAGTGACCTTCAGAAAGAAGGCCTCTAAACAAAACGGAGGATTCAAATCCCAAGATGGTATAAATAGAGGAAGTTACGAATTTACAACATAGGGCGCGCCCAGCGTCAATAGACTCTAAATTAGTGTTTGCGACCGCTTTAGCATCTGTACTGCGACAAAAAAGTGCTTGGATCAATGGTGACCGCCCAAACAATCATATGCCGACCAAATGACCCAGAAAAGCAGATGGCCCGCTGTCTGCACATGCTTCTCGTCACATATGCCTCAAAGCCGAAATGGTCGCCCTTTCTTCCGATGGCGATTATGAGTGGATCAGTGGTAAAAGCCCGTTAGATGTTTGAGTTTGTGAACCTCTGGCCTTAATATTCACTGTCGAAACTGAAACTCTAGCAGGCTAGGACTCACATACGCAGCCTCACTAGTTTTCAGGGTTTGCAAGTTGGCTTTGTGATCGAATTTTGTTTCCGCCGCAGTTGTTGGTCGTAACAGGCATTTCATCCGACAGCAGCTTCCAGCCCGTTACTCATCGACAGCCAGCCATTTACCCCAGTTTTCGGTGACCCACAACCTTCCGATAATTGAACGTCAAGTCCAATGCTGTGTCACCAAGTCACGAGTCCTCTCTCCTTTCGTTTGTAGTCGAAAGGATCAATATACGTGAAGGATTAGCCAACCAATCTAGTCTCGTTCTGCCTTGGGACGCAGTCTTGACCGTTTAATCGGGTTTTTGGTCAGATGTGGCTATGTACCCCCCCCCCCCCTGAATTAAACGAATCCTCGCCACCTGTAATATTTGACTAGTGGTAATTGGGGTTTTTAACAGGTGGGGCCGGGGAACGCACGGGCGACGAGGTCAAGTAGTTGTATGCAAAAGAAAAGCCATTGGGAATGCGCGGTTGTACTTTGAGTGGTTGAGAAATAGTTGCCCTGACCCTAACCGTAACCCCTAACCCCAACCCCAACAGTATTGTGTCCTTCATGCGGGGTTACATAACCACATCTTACCCAGTTTTCAATCATCGAATAGGTTGAGCTCGAATCTCTGGTCAGTTTCCCAGGGGATTACAGACACATCGTCGTACAGATGACTTTGTCCCGAATTCAATGGCCGGGGCTTGTGTCAGGGTCAACGCTTAAGTTGGAACATGGGAATAGGTGTCCCTGCAGTGGGGTGTCCATATTCCGACCCTCGGGCCATTCAAACGTGGGGTACAGCTAGCTGGCTGATGATGGCCTAAAAGCCAGAAATACCCGCCCCAGTTTCTCTTATCATCCTCGATATCCTTTTTGGGCAAGGAGAGGGTGTGTAACCCACCTCAACTCCCCCCCCCTCCCTAGGTGGTTATTCAAAAGTTTATTTTCGTGTCGTAGGTGTGGGATCGCCTCAAGGCACAAGACAACGAGTGAGTTCCGTAGCGCGACTGGTGAGAGCCCCTCTATCACTGTATATATCCGATAGCAACCGAAGTGCAACGAGCCCATTGCTAAGTAGTGGGGGGCATTGGACTTCCAACCAACATGTCGCGGGATCTAGCCCCAGTATTTACAAACATCAAGGTTAGGTGTGGCTTGCTGATGACGGCTAATAAACGAAAAATTGCCATTCCGGTCCCACCGGTCTTTGTCGGTGACGCTATTCCGTGGTTCATAACGGTTCGCCTAACAAAAGGTTGGCAAATGAGTCATACTGTACACGGATTTTGATCTTCTCTAGTGTCATTTACGCCAAAGCTGCCCTGATCGGGCTGAAGATTGGGGTTGGATAAACGGCTAGTATTAGGAGTTTGGTTATTCCAAGGGCTGAGACTGTCAGTCTGGGTTCGCAGTTGAGGCTAGGATTGTGGTTTATAATTAGGGACAGGAGTCTGGGCAGGATTTTTAGGATTTGGGTTAAGGATTTAAGACCTAGGGTTAAGATTGCGGTTACGTTCGAGTTTTCCGTAAATGCCTATAGATTTCGGGTAAGGCTAACCCATTACAGCCGTGGTCACGGTTAACGTTAGGACAGTAGTAGATTGGAATTTTTCCAGGGGGCTTACATGCCATACTCTCGGCCCTTTCTGGATTATTACCGGTCGCTATACAACTGTCTGTGATGGATCCAGATTGGGTCTCAAGGCGTAGCAGGACGACTGGGTTCCATGATTTAGCCGGACAGATGAACAACACCCTCACACTAAATGATCGAAACGCGTTTGGGGCAAAATAAAAAACCACCACCACTGCGCCTCCACCTTAAAATCGGTGCTTACGTGGTAACCATTCACCTTCCTTCTGTAGACGCCCGTATTTAGTTGCCCATTTCGGAAATGCTATTCTCGACAGTATGTTCACCGTACTCATTTCCTTCGACGTCTAGTTATTTACCTCCGAGTACAGATAACCTTGTCCCAAATTCCAGGGCTAGGAATAGTGTCAGGCTAAAGGCTTAAATTGAGACACGGGAATAGGTGCCCCTACAAAAGTTAGAAAGAGCACAGTTGCAGTGGGGTGTCCATATTCCCATGTCCGGCCCTCGGGCCATTCAAACGTGGGGTAAGGCTGGCTGATGATGGCCGACAACTAACTTACGCACACAGCTTGTACACCCTAAGGACAGGGTTGGCTATCTGGAAAGAAAAGCTGTTGTCTACAAAATCCCGTGTTCTAGTTGTGATGCCGTTTATTGTGGCCAAACTGGGAAATCTGTCTCAACCCGTATACATGAGCATCAGTTAGCGGTGAAGAGACGCGACCATCTATCCCAGGTGACCATGCACACACTGGACACTAGGCACAAATTTGCATGTGAAAACATTTGCATTGTTGACGCCTGCCAAACAAGGAAAGGCCGCGAATTCCTGGAGGCAATGCACTCAGATCAGGCATGCATCAACCGGCATATCGATTTAGATGCCACATACAAAATCGTTAAAGACAGATTCAAACTGAGTCAATCAATCCCGAAATGACGACCTTAACCAATCATGGAATCCTTTTGCCAGACTCAGTCTAGAAGTCAATTGCTTCTGCACGCCCGTTGTCTGAAGACGAGCTGGGGAACCAGTCTCGAAAATTCACAATAAAATTTTGCTGTTTCCCAAAGAACTTCACCTTTCTTATTATATTTCTTGGGATGCCTGTTTTTCAACCTCTAAAAGTATACGACTGAAAGCAAGCCCAGCCTGCCTGTTTGCTTGGTAGTAGCGTAAGCCATAAACCCGCAGAAAAAAGGAAATGCCGTAGATTTGATAGGACAGAATCCTGGGGATTCGCTTCTCAATGATGGACAAGGTCCAGTACTTAAACAATTTGAAGTTAAAACAGGAAATACCTAGTTTATAAATGCGTGCATTAACGCTAGATGACAGTATTGGAGACTGGCTCAGCTTTTACGTCCTCACGGGCAGTATGAAAAGCACTCAACAATGACGTTTCAGAGGGGTTGAAATGCAGTCGGCCACGAGATACAGCACGATCCGGGAATTGAGTTCAAGGGGAACGGGCTGTTATATTTCAACCTAACCGCATTTTGGATTGATTTGCCATACTTACCACCGAATTTGCATGGCTACAAGACTCAGCCGTCAGGGGCTTGGTTCATCTGGGCTACTCCATCGTTCTCCGTATTAAGGCTTCTCTGTTCTTTAAGAGTTCAGTTTTTGACTTTCAACAAATTCTCTGGTGCAAACTCTTCCAGATGCGCAAAGATGCAAATTTCCGGACCAAGCCTGCCAAGGTTTGTCCCAAAAAAATTACTCTAAGTTTACGCGTTGTTTTCTGAGGAAAGTGGAAAGGATGGACATTGAGAACGAGGCCATTTGACAAAAGCGAATTTTATCAAATCAACTCATACCCAAAACACTAGACATCAACGTATGCTTTGGTCAAGCAGTGTGTCATCTCCATCATATGGTAATTACAGTGAGTGTTCATGATAAGTTGAGAATCAAACTGGAACCGCTCTAAAACTTCACTTGTTGTTTGTTTAGTAGAAATGCAGAAAACGCTTGCACGGAATACGTACATTTACTTCTCAGACGGTTTTTAAATTACAAAATTGGGTACTCACTTTGCATGTATGACCTCTTTCCGCTATCTTAACCTCGTTCGTGGGATTGTTCGTTTGAACGCAGGATGACTGAACAGCACTCTTCGAAAGTGCCGTTTTTTAGTAGCCACATCTCTTCCGAACCAGCCCTCCCCCTGCCCCCTCCCCGCCCCTACCTCTACTTCGGTTGCGTATACACCGCCGTCAGAGCAGCACGACACCACTTAGCGTCACCACCCCCTACGAAACGGCCAATCGGCGTGGCGCAAATCATGCCACCACCGTGACTGACACGCCGCCTGCCGCTCGCATGACCAATTGACGCGGCCAGTTTCAGGCTGTCGACAGCCGGCTGCGCGTCGATTGGCCACCTTACTGCCAGGCGAAGTGCGAACGTGCTTGCGGGGCAAGAAAGTCGCACGTTTTTTGTCTGACAGCGAAGGCCAGAGGCGGAATTCGGGCGGGAATTTCGTGAAAAACGGTCCTGTTGCCAGATGGGCGGAAACTCCACACAAAACATACAGGCTTGAAATCTGCAGTATTCTGCCTGTTTAACCTTCGAGGCGGTCTAAGAGCATACTGAGTCTGATTTCCGCCCTTTTTAAATTGCATGTTCGATGCACAGAAGCCAAA